GATATTATGCAGAAACAAAAGAACAAAGGTAGAAACTGTTCATCCTATTTACATGAACAAATAACATAACTAAATCCATAAAAGAAAGAAGAACTAACCGGATCAAAAGGGCAGACCTATTTTGAAGGCTAAGTTGCTTCCAAATGTTTAAAAACTAATCTAAATTGGAATTTGCAGAAGAAAATATGATGAACAAACCTAGGCTAAGGCTATGAACTAATCTGAAAAATCTGGGAAATCTGAAAAATCTGGAAACTATTGTTGAAATCTGGAAAATGCAGTCTGAAAGCTGAAAAACATGCTCTGGGTAGTCTGTGTGTGTGCTGGGCAGGCCGGTAACTGCTCTCTCCTTCTGGTTTTTCTTTGCTTCGGTGCTGTCACCCTCCCTCCATGATTTCCGGTACTGTTCCTCCATGATCTGGTAGTGGGGTTGCAGGTTTGGCAGTTACTTGACAGTTATCAAATTATTTTATTTAACCTTATCTCCAACAACCTTAAAGATAACTACCTAAAAACCCTCAATTTCCCATTTTAAATCAAACTTAAACCACCAGATCTAATCTTATCTTCTGCCAACCAAGATCCCACCTCCTTGGAAATCCATATCCGTCTGGGCCATCAAATTATAAGTCAGTCCAGCCCAAATCCAGCCTATTGATTTTCTTGATAATTGGGCTTTACATTGACACGTGGCCTTACCCTAAACAGAAATAAACATGGCAGATTCTTAAAGGGAAAAGAAACGGATTTGTATTTGATGGGAGGAATCTCACCCACGGGATCAGGCTCCCACCATTTCCTTCACCATTTCCCTAAAAGAATCCTCTGTTCCAGAAATTTTTAAGACTGAAAAAAAAACCTAGAAAATGCACATTCTCCTTCGGTGAGCTCTGGAAATTCATGATCTTCTTCCTCTTACTGCCACCTCCGGCAATACCCAAATTCAAATCCAAAGAACCCCAGAATCAACCAAAAGAAAAATTCCCCCTCCAATCTGATTTTTTCTCTATATATACCCAAACAATAAAATAAAAATAAAAATAACATAAAAAAACTTCTTCGGAGGATGTCGATTTGTCTAGTATACACTGTCTTTTCTGCAAGTGAGGCAAGGATAAGGCTGTAGCAAGCAAGAGTGCAGAGGCCCGAGATTGGGGGCGGCGCGCGGTGTGCAGGGTGCATGATTGCTGGCAGTAGGGCGCAGGCTCGGTGCAGAGGGGGGTATGATTGCCGGTGATGGGGAGAGGAAGCTGATTCGGTGCAGAGGGGAAAGGGAGTTGGTTCGATGCAGAGGGGGGTGGAAATTGGTTCGGTGCAAAGGGAGGTGGAGGCTGGTTTGGTGTAGAGGGGAGAGGAAGCTGGAGATTGATGCAGAGGGGAGAGAAAGCTGGTTCGGTGCAGAGGGGGGGTGGAAGTTGGTGACTGATGATGAGGAAGAAGGTTTGAGATCCCCTTTTATTTTTTGTCTATTTCCTTCTTTTTTTTTTTTTTTTTTTTTTGGGTTTGGTTAAATGGGTTTTGGGTTTTTTGGGTTTTTTGGTAATTGGGTTTGGGTAGTTGGTGGGCTTTGGGTTTTTTTTTTGGGTTTTTGGGTAATTGGGTTTGAATTTGGGTTTTGGTTTGGGTTTGAAGGGTTTTGGGCTGGACTTGTAATTCGTTTTGATGAACTTCACCCCTCCAACTTTTGATTTCTTCAATTGAGTCCCTTGTTTTAATTTCTTTCATCTCCCTTTTCCAATTTTCTTTGCAAAAATCCCTCATTTTGCTCATGAACCTAACAAGGAAAACAAAGACAAAACATATTAGTTAAAAAATAAAAATAAAATAAAATTCTATTAAAATTTGAATTATGACAGTTGCCTCTCTTTTTTCTTTTTTTCTTTTTTTTTTCTGTTAAGAATGAAAAGAAAAGACAAGAATAACTCAATTTTTTTTAACGGTTGTTTTTTGTTTTTTTTGTTTTTTTACTATTAAGTAACAAATCAAGTAAAAATGACCGAACGAGTAAAGTAAAAATGGTTAGGAAACCACAATGATCAAATTAACCGAACAAATGAGATAAAATGGTTAGAAAACCGCAATGATCGGATTACCTAAACGAATGACAAAAGACGGTTATAAAATTGCAATGATCGGATTAACCGAACGAATGAAAGAAGACAGTTAGAAAACCGTAACGATCGGATTGACTGAATGAATGAAAGAAGACAATTAGAAAATCGCAACGATCTGATTGAACGAACGAAAGAGATAAAATGCCTAGAAAACCGCAACGATCAATTGACCAAATGAATGAGAGAAAATGGTTAGAAAACCGCAATAATTGAATTAACCGAACGAATGAGAGAAAACGATTAAAAAACTATAATGATCGGATTAACCAAACAAATGAGATAAAACGGCTAGAAAGCCGCAACGATCAAATTAACCGAACGAATGAAAGAAGACGATTAGAAAACTACAATGATCGGATTAACCGAACGAATGGGATAAAATGACTACAAAGTCGCAACGATTGGATTGACCGAACGAATGAGAGAAAACGGTTAAGAAACTGCAACGATTGGATTAACCGAATGAAAAAGATAGGCTAGAAGGCCGCAATGATCGGATTAACCGAACGAATGAGAGAAGACGGCTAGAAAACTGCAACAATTGGATTGACCGAACGAATGAGAGAAGACAACTAGAAAACTGCAACGATCGGATTAACCGAACGAATGGGATAAACGGCTAGAAAGCCGCAATGATCTGATTAACTGAACGAATGGGAGAAAACAGTTAGAAAACTACAATGATCAGATTAACCGAATGAATGAGATAAAATAGCTAGAAAACCACAACGATCGGATTGACAGAACGAATGAGAGAAGATGGTTAGAAAATCGCAACGATCAGATTAATCGAACGAATGAGATAAAACGGCTAGAAAACCGTAACGATTGGATTGACCGAACGAAGGAGAGAAGACAATTAGAAAACTGTAACAATTGGATTAACTGAATGAATGGGAGAAAACGGTTAGAAAACCGCAACAATTGGATTAACTGAAGGAATGGCATAAAACGGTTAGAAAACTGCAACGATCGGATTGATCAAACGAATAGGATAAAACAGGTAGAAAGCCGCAACAATCGAATTGATCAAATGAGTGAGACAAAACTACTAGAAAACCGCAATGATCGGATTGATCGAACGAATGAGAGAAGACGGTTAGAAAATCGCAATGATCAGATTGACTGAACGAATGAGAGAAGATGGTTAGAAAACCGCAATGATCGGATTAACAGAACAAATTAGATAAAACGATCAAACGACCAAGCAAGTTAAGTTAAGACAATTATATAACCGCAATGGTCGAATAATCGAAAAAGTATAGTATCAGTATAATTGAGTGACCTGAAAAAGTAAAATATCAATATGGTCGAATGACTAAAAAAATAGAGTATGAGTATGGTCAAATGATCGAAAAAATAGAATATATGGGCCTAATGAGTGTAAAATGCAACTAAAGGGCTAGATGAAAACAATGATTAAAAGATCCACAGCCACGAAATATATGCAGGTGAGACAATCTTCATATATAAGATAAGGTAAAAATGAAAAGAGGTTAAAAAACTTCCTTGAATATGTTGGGAGTCCATATTTGGCGAGAGTCAAATGTGCTTTATGTTGGGCATTCATCAACCTATGATGATCTCTATGTAGCAGCTCAGTAGATTCATATTCATGAATACTCTATTGAATGCCAGAGGTAGAATCTCATTTGTTTCCCATGAAGAGATGTTTGAAAGTAGTGCTTCAATAAGTTGAACTTTCATTTGCTATTGGAATTTCAGCTAGCATGGATGACTTCTTAGTTATCGAATTCAGCTTCCTTTCTCCCTGTAATTCTCATCCAACCTTTGAAATTCATCAAGAAATTTTGATTAGATAAACAATTATATTAATTAAAATAAAGTCTCATGTTCAACTAGCATTCCCAATACTGAATAACAGGTAAGGTTGGAATAAAGTGCAAATAGAATGATTGCAATGATTTATTTCATTAGATTCAAGCAAGATTAGGATGATCAAAAGGTCAACTTTGAATAGTGACAAAAAGAAGTCTGACCAATAATACAAGATTTTGATGCAACTGGTTACAAGATATTCAGACCATAAATCGTTGCTTCAGATCATCTTTTCTTTGCAACTCTGCCCCTTAGTTCTTTAATCCATGAGAGAGAGTCTCGTTCCTTTTCTGAATATTGACACTTCAAATCTTTCCCCTTTTCATGAACTAACTCTCATGCTCAAAATAAGGAAGTTTCCAACTGCCACTGCCTAGAGCCTTGCTGTTTCTTTTTTTTTTGTGTGTCCCTAGACAAAGAAAGCTTTAAACCCTCAGATAAGGACTTTCATACGGGCTTGTAATGTGGCTTGGG